AGTCGGACTGAGTGGCTCCTCGAATGCGGTCGCGGGTGTCCCTGGCAGCCCGGTCCGGGTTCACCAGGAGCCACCTCTCTTGGTCTAAGGCTTCCCCCGCTGGTTGTTGGGTGAGGCGCCCTTTTAACTTGGGAGGAAAGCGATTTAACCGGGGGGGGCATCGGTTTGTGTCCTCACCCTTAGGTGCAGGACAATCCTAAAATGTTTTAGCAAGTCCCATTTTGTTGAGGGCTCGGCATGTTCCCAGGTAAGTGGATGTAGGGATGCAGTGTTTTTCCCCCCTCTTAAAATATATACAAAACATGTTGAGATCTGGAAGTGTTTCTTGGTTTCTACAGATGTTCAGTTTCAATTTTGAAAAATTACTTTTTTAGAGGGGGGAATTTTTCGTTTGTGTTAAAAGCAGAGGAATGGTGGTTCTCTTTCGAGGGTATCTCAGCCAGTGTGGCTACTGGAAAGCTGTCATTCAAAACAAAACAATCAAGCCTTATGTTGGACTGCAATGCCATCATCCCTCACCATTGGCTGTGCTAATGGGGGCTGATGGAGTTGCTGTCTAAGAAGAAGACAATTATATATTTATTTCATTTGTACCCCGCCTATCTGGTCTTGCGCCCACTCTAGGCGGCTTCCAATACAACATAAATCAGCAAATAAAAATATCACAAAAATTATTACATAAATTAGTTCCATAACAATTTATAAAATGAGAAAAATAAAATAAGAAATAGAAAAAATAAAAAGATCAAGTATTGACTGGAGGGAAGGCCTGAATAAACATCCATGTTTTAATTGATTTTTAAAGATACCCAGTGTAGGGGCTGCACAAATCTCCAGAGGAAGATTATTCCAAAGGCGAGGAGCTACTGCTGAGAAGGCCCAATTTCGTGTTTTTTTCCTTACGGCCCTCCCTCGGCGTCAGGCTCCTCAGCCTCACCTCCTGACTCGCACGGGTGATCTGGGTACGCCTTGGTGGGAGTAGGCGTTCCGCCCAATATCACTCAATACCCTTTTTCTCCTCCTTTACTTAATTTGAATACTGTACTTAAATGGATGTCATAAGGTGAGCATGACAGGCATTCCAAAAAACAAACCCACAACCACCATCTTTATGTCAAGAAGCCATTTTATAGTTAAGCTTAAGCATACAGACATATGCTTAGGATTATAGGCTTGGTTTGTTTAAAAGCAAGTTACTCTTACTAGGTTCTGGGATTTAAAACAGTGATCTCCTGTGTTATCAAAAACAAACCTGCTCGCCTGCTATGCAGTTTGACATGCCACTCTTCATTTGACCTTGGTGAAAATAATCTTACAAAACAGTTCAAATGTATTATAAAACCATCCATCTTTTTTTTTTTTCTTTCTTAATTAGTCCAGGACCTCTTGTGTCTCTTTGCTCCCATTGCCTTGCTGTGGCAGAACAAGGATAAAGCATACCATTTGTAATGAACATAATTCCTACAGGTTGCTAAAGCCTTCTCCATTCAGTTCTAGTTCAAGAAGCACAAATCAGCTCCCCATTAGATTGAACAGATAAGTCTGATTGAGATATTCAACAGCCAATGTGGTGGCCATATATGAACTACTGTACTATGCATAGTTGCCTTACAGTGTGGTGAGCCGGTCATATTCAGGTACTGCCGCATGGAGGGAGGCGCTCGGAAAAATAATGATGGAATATGAATGCTTCTATGCTCTATTCCCCCAAAATTGTAATGATGATAATAATACTCTTAGAACTGCAGAGCTGGAAGAGACCCTATGGATTATGGACTCCAGACCCTGTCAAGGAAGTATATTGGGGAATTGAACTCCCAGCGTCTAGCTCTGCAGACAGATGCCTTAACCCACTGAACTATTCAGCAGTTCTGCACTTGACACAAATCTAGCATACACTTGTGCCATGGTCATCATGCATCTCTTAGGTTAATGTTTCACGATATGACCCCCCTTGTCTGTAGAAATCATGAGGCAGCATGAGGCTATCCTCACAACAGCAAGGTGAGGCAAGTAGATTGAGTTGAGAGATGAATTACTATAGATCATCCACTGAATTTTATAGCTGAGTGGGGCCCAGTTTATTATAGATTGCACTTTGCTGCATATACAGCTATACTGTGTTTTTCTTTTATTTTGTCCTTTTTAAAAGGCAGCTGAAAGATATAAAACACAGTAAACCTCCTGATCCATAGGCAACTCATATAGTAACCATAACAGTAAGGTTCCCTGTAAGGTGTGCACCCTTGCAACTTCGCCTCTCTCCATGCAGCTTTCCTCCTCTGCACAGCGATTGTTTTCAATCTGTTTGGTTCACAGTGAAACCCTGGCAGGGGGGGGCTGGGTTGCGCACGAGGTGCGAAATTCCATTAATCGCTTGTATTTACGGGCTCACTCCCTCGATTAAAGCACTGATCTGATTGCAAACTGATTGCCTTGCCCAGCTGTCAGAGAGTATGTTGATAACAGTAATTTGAATGTCAGCTATTGGAGAGAAAGTAATTCCAATACAGTGGTGCCCCGCTTAATGCTTACCCTGCTTGACAACGAATCCGCTTCACAATGAAGTTTTTGTGATGGCAAAACGATGTTTGAATGGGGTTTTTTTTGCTTTATGATGGATTCTTCACATTACAATGATCAAAAACAGCTGATCATTGGGTTTAAAAATGGCCACCGGGTGTACAAAATGGCTCCTTGCTGTGTTTAGGAAGGGTTTTTTGCAAGACAGGAGCAGAAAATGGCCACCCTATGGAAGATCTTTGCTGGACAGTGAGTTATTCAGCCCATTGAACAGATTTTCAATGCATTTCAATGGGATTTTTTATTTCACTTGACATGGATATCGCTTAACCGCAATTTTGCTGGAATGGATTATCTTTGTCAAGCGAGGCACCACTGTACTAGGATTTTTCTGAGGATATCAACATTATAATATTTTGCAATAAAATGTTATTTCTTAAATGAAGTATGTTTATTGGGATATTTACATTCTTTTTATTAAAAATATTTTTAAAGTAGTATGTCTGTAAAATATCACCATATGCCTTTAGAGTTGAGCAAATGCTTTCTCAAAATCTCACTCAGTACTCATGCAGATCCTCTTTGTAGCTTGCTCTGGACCATCGATATCTGTGCTTTCAGTATCCTCAAGACTGATCTTATTTTTCATCTGCTCATCTGGTTCCATGTCAGAATATTTTGTTTTTTTCAAGTGTCCTAGTTCAATACGCCCTCTATGCACAAAGTGACTGATGCGAGACTCCAAACTTTCACACTTGGGACGTTCCATTAATCGCTTGTATTTACGGGCTCTCACTCCCTCGATTAAAGCACTGATCTGATTGCAAACTGGAGGTGTTATATCTCTCCAAGGAATTGTTGTGGAGTTCCCTGAACCTGTAAACAATAAATAATCACTGTCAGAAAAATGTCTAATTATACACAGTCTGTTGAAATTGCTCTTAAGACTCAAATAGACAATATTAGAAGGCCCTCCTGGAGCCATGGTCTTTAACATAAATACTTTTAGAATTCTACAAATTTGCTTTTTCTACCTGTATCTGTAGGTATCTCGGCAACATCTAGCCCCTTTAACATGCAGTACAGCATATGACATTTAATAGCATGGGTGGTCCAAAGTTGCTGTAGATGCGTAACATTAAACTCCTGCACTTGGCGATCATAGATCCACTGGATGTTTTCAAACTTACAGTCGTACAGAACCAAAGGAAATTCCACTGCCATGCTGCGGGGGACAAGGGGAGAGAAAATTAGATGTTAATAAGCACTTCATCTGGATCCATGTAACTTCATCTGATAGGGAACTGAATATAGAAATATGCATCCACAAGTTAAGCCCTTGTTGAATTTGGCACTTCATGTGTAATTGATGTGGATCCAGGTGCACATCTGTTATATCTAGGATATGTCAGTATTGGTGTAAATCAAGAGTCTGGGAATCTTTGGCTCTCCAGATGTGGGCTACAGCCTCCTAGGACCTGGACCATCGGCTAAACTTGTTGGGGCTCCTGAGTTTGGATCACAAAATCAAGGTTGCAGATCTCTTACCCCTGACATTGGTGTTTCTGTGTGCAACACCTACTGGTCTCATACTGCCCCTAGCTTGCCTGAAGTTCACAATGAATTTGAGCTATATTATTTTAAGGTTATTTACTCATGCACAAACATAAGTATGGTGAACAAAAATGTAGGTTTGGTGATGCAATAGCTATGCAACATTCAATCTCTGTATTTTCTTCTTTAGTTTGATTCTACTGGGTGCATTAAAAGAGTTCTCAAAGATAAAATAAAACTCCATGCAAAGGAGCCTATCCTATGTCTATCCTTGCCCTAGGACCTGGCTTGATGCAGTTTTAATGTGACATTGGAGAAGCTCCCTGTGACATGAGATGCCTGTTTCCATGAGTAAAAAGCTACATAAATCACTTTTACATGTTGTTTAGCAAAGGTAGTGCTGAGTACTAGAGCAGTCTAAGATGAGCATGAGCTTTTATAGCAAGTCGTGATATTACAATGTTTATTAGTGTTTAATGGTTGGAGCTTATAGCTCAGCAGTGCAACATATCCTTTACATACTGAAGGTCCCAAGTGTGATAGTGATAATCAGTGGTTAAAACAGGTTTCCAGTAGAAAGGCTGGAGAAAACCTGAGGTTTCTGCAGCTAATACCAGTCAGTATAAAACAGCTTTATGTGTGTTTGTTCTACTGCAACAGACTAAGAGATACCTGTCTGGAGATATTTAAATTTTATGAAATTTTTGCTCAAGTCCTACCTGTACTGTGGTTTTCTAGGGTTATTCTCAATATCCAGCAGCTCGTCAATAATTCCTGGCTTTTCCAACCTTTGTCCAATCAGGAAGAGAATGGCCATCATGCAACGAACCTGGTGATAGAGGAAGGCCTGGCCCGTCACTTGAAACTGGTACATTTGGAACGGGGTTTGTTGCTCGGTTTCCTCGTCTCTATCCACAAGCCGCACCTCTGCAGTAAGAATTGTCCTATGAAAATTGGTCACCCCGTTGGCTACATCCATCTTGCATAGGTTGCGAAAATCATGAACTCCCACAAACTTCTGAGCTGCAACATTCATGAGAGCTACATCGAGATTAGCACGAGGAAAAAAATAGCAATAGGTCCTCTTCAGGCAACTAAATCTAGCACTGAAACTGGGCTCTACTGCAGCCCAAGCCAGTACCCTTATATCAGGAGGCAGGACCTGATTCAACATGTGGGTGTAGCGGATTTCTTCTGATGTATTAGTTGCTTTGACATTTGTAGACTCTCCAAGTTTATCTCCTTTAAAGTTTGAGCGGAGATCCAAGGAAATAACCTGAAATAATGGGGGAAAATTATATTCTGGAGGTAGATATAAAAAGCACAATGATGATTCAGACGGGCTAAATCCAAATGCTAATCTCAACGAGACCTATTTAATCAACTGAACTTACAGAAGTGTGGGACTTGTTCAGTGCACCAATTCTGGTTGGGACTGCCAACTAGATTTAGTCCTCTGTTTCTAAACAAATTCCAGCTCAAAATTATTTAAATGAGATCTCTTTGTAGTAGTTTATCCATTTGCACCTGAACTGATTTTGAGGTAGACCTAGCCTGAAAACCTCCTTAATTTCCTTGATATCTTAATCTTTGAATCTACCAAGAAAGTCAGTTGTGTTACCAGTTACATGCCACTTCCTAAAATATCCACTATTGCTAGAAAACCTCTATGATCTTTACTACTAGCTTCCCAAACGCTTTTTTTTTTTTTGCAACTGAACAAAAACATTTTATTATAATTTCAATTTATTTCAGTTTTTGGATGAGAGTAAGCTATGATTATTCCTTTCATTAAAAGTAACAATGATTAATTTAAAAGCCAACTTTTTCAAATCACAGGGGACAGTGATAGAATAAAATCCATAAACCCCTTAAGGTGGAGGTTGTCAACGACCGGTCCGCGGCCCATTGCCAGTCCCTGGCTTGAGCCCGACCGGGCCGCCAAGACAGACCTCGCCCCGCCCCCACTCCCCTTCCCACAGCTGCTTTGCGCGTGCGTGCTGGCGCTGGCGTGAGTCCTCCCTCACCCCTTCCTGCAAGCCCCTGCGGGCGCAAAACAGCTGTGGGGAGGGGAGTTTGTGCATGGGGGGCGGGGAGGGGTCTGTCTTGGCGGCCCAGCCCAGCGGCGGTGACCAGGGTTGGCAAGAGCCGGGAGGGAGAGCAAGGCCCGGGTGCTCTCCTCCTGGCGGCGGCAATGGGAGTGGGGGTCTTGGCAAGAACCGCGAGGGAGAGCACGGTCCGGGTGCTCTCCTCCTGGCAGCAGCGGCAGCGATGGGAGTGGGGGGTTGGCAAGAGCCAGATAAAATAAAAATAAAAAAACTCGGCGGCGTGCGGGTGTGCAGGCACTCCTGTGCATGCATGAAGCAGTGAGGGAATGCGCGCGCCTATGGCGCGCACACTCCCCAACCACTGCACGCGTGCATCGAGGGCAAGCGTGAAGGGCCGCCGCACCTCCCTCAGAGACTCCCCCGGTCCACACTAGTAAAAATGTTGGGGAACACTGCCTTAAGGAAACCCCCAACTCCCAATTATCCCTCATGGGATTGGGGGATCTCCTCTAATCCCCAGTTTTCCTACTGTAGTTGGAAAGTGATAAAACTCACCTGTCCAAAGGCACTGACTCCTTTGTCAGTGCGTCCACAGCGGTGATAATTGGAAGTCTGTCTGTTTTCTATCAGTCGAGTTTTGTCAAGAGCCTCAAAGAGCTTGTCTTCTATAGTATTGCTGGTGTTCTCCTGGCTGGCAAACCCTTGGTATCCCCAGCCTAGATAGGCTATTTTTAGTGCAACGTGTCTCCGGCCATAAGCACTAAAATCAAATGGCCGCTGCTGGCGTTTTTTAGTCTTTGCTGATGTTGGGAGACTGGTAGAAGTGCTTGTCTTCTCCTTGTTGACCTTCAGCCTTTCTTCTAATCTTTGCACAGTCTCTTCCAGCTCCTGGATCCTCTCTAGTAGTTGCTTAGTTTCCTTTCTATCTTCATCCATTGCGACAATCCCTATGGTGTGGAAGCACAGACAGGGACACAATGCTAGAACGGTAGACTTCCACGTGGGCCTCCTCTTAGACTTCCTCTATAGCCCAAGTGGCAATGCAAGAGGTAGTCACCTCTTAGCAGGAAGGTAAACTGGCATCTATTGAGTTAATTGACAGAGGAGGGATGGAATTGAGAGTAGATTTCTTTTTACCCATAGCTAGAGCATAGACTTGTTCTATTCCATGAGTCAACTCACTTGCTGTGGAAATAAAACATTTCCAACTCTATTCCACTTGAAGGTCTCAAGGCTTCCACAGAATCTCATTCATCACTGGATGCCATGGAATTTACGGGGGGGGGGGGGGGGGAGTGGAATCTTTAAATCCCAAAAATTGCAGCCCACCTAGATGGCTTTACTTCGCAACATTGATTTTTGGAAATTCAAGAAATTCCTCATGGAATTTCTGTATAGGGCTTCCCTATAATGAAATGGACTTCATGGGAGCAGGGGTAGGAGGTGTAGTCCAGAATGTTTTATTTCTTTAAAAAAAAAATGTGGCTGATGACATTGTCAGTCTTATGTCATGTAACCTCGTGGCGCAGTGGTTAACTGCTGTACTGCAGCTAAAACTGCTCACGACCTGGGGTTCAATCCCAGGTAGGCGGCTCAAGGTTGACTCAGCTTTCTATCCTTCCAAGGTCGGTAAAATGATTACTCAGCTTGCTTGGGGGGGGCAATGTGTAGCCGGCATAATAAACTTCTAAACCACCCAGAGAGTGCTTGAAGCACTATGGGAAACCCCCAACTCCCCAATCATCCCTCATGGGATTGGGGATCTCCTCTAATCCCCCATTTTCTTATTGCAGTTGGAAAGTGATAAAACTCACCTGTCCAAAGGCACTGACTCCTTTGTCCACAGCAGTGATAATTGGAAGTCTGCCTGTTTTCTATCAGTTGAGTTTTGCAAAGAGCCTCAAAGAGCTTGTCTTCTATAGTATTGCTGGTGTTCTCCTGGCGGTATATAAGCAGCACGCTTTGCCTTGCTTTTTGCTTTTAACCTACAGAACAGAATTTCAATCATTATATTCATTACTGAGCATTTCTATATCATTGCTCATTTTTACAACAATCCCAAAGTAACTTAAAATAAAAGCAAAGTTGCTAGAAAGAATAAGGCAGTAAAACAGCACTTCTAATCCTTATCCTGACATTACTCGGAGCAGAGTTATTTATGGAGTGCACAATCTAGCCTTACAGAAGCTCTTGGGCAGCAATATCCCTTACCACTGGCTGGGCTAGTTAGGGCTGAGTGGAGCTGCTGTCTGACATCTTTAAAAGTGAGCCGTGAGTTGCCAGATCCACAAGCAGTCTCTCATTTCAGGTTTCTTACTCAAAACTACTGGTTGTCAACCTTTCTGTCTTCAAGAAAGCCCTCCATTTAAAAGTCATAGAGGAGTCTGGGAGGAGTTCTAATTGCCACACACTTCATCTAAGATACTGGTCAGCTCTCTTGGGCTCCCTTTCACACTATGTGACTTACCTGCCTTAGAATACCTGTGCCACTCTTCCACCTATACTCTAGTAGTGCATAAGTGGTCTGCTTTAACAAAAGTTGACAATTACAATTTTCTTTCTGGATATCAGGATGCTGCTTCCCTATTATTTTCCAAGCAGCCTCTGGAAACCAATTGGAAGCCCCTGTTATAGTTAATATTGTATGGGATTCATCTCATGTTCAGATCAGCACAACACAGGAAACTGACTGTAATAGATTCCAAGCTGACTTAAATGCTTTTCTGCAGTTATAAGCAGATGTTACTATTCGGAAAGTGAGTAACTATGCATGCTTAAGCAGATACAAGTCATTGTGTGATAACTAGTAAATATTTCTTTCAGAATCAATAACTGCACTAATCAAGGAAAAACAATGGAAGCCGTGATGGGACCTGATCCGTACCAGTGGACTTCTACAAGCCGGGAGGATCAGCTGAAAGAACTTGCTATGGCCTTTATGCGCCTTTGTGCTGAACGGGGAGATGGCGATAGCCCAAAGCAACCTCACGTGGCACCGCAGCAAGACCCCTATGCAAGGGCCTCTGTGGCTGCTCTGCCCAGGCCTATTCACCCTGTAATGGTCAGGCATCTTCAGCCAGAACCTGCCTTGCCGTCGGGGATTCCTAGGGATTCCAGAAGTCTTAGGAAACCTGTGATGAAAAGGAAAGTTCTGAGGCGAACGCCTGATGGAGAGGTCCAGGTGACAGATGAGTCAGTCATCAGTGAACCCGAGTCCAGCACTCCGAGTGACCCAGAATACAGGGACCTGAGTTGGGGAATGTATCATCAGAACACCCAGGAGGCGGAGGAAGAAGAATCTGAGGAAGAGTGTGAGCCCAACAGTTCCCCAGAGTCAGAGACTCCTTGTTCCTGGAGAACGACTGGGGACAGCCAGAGCCAATGTTCCCAAAGAGAGAGTCAGAGCCGCAGCACAGCATCCTACGAGCAGGATTTGATTCTCCCTGCTCACCCAAAGTCCTTCATATTACCAAGGCTGGATCAAATCAGCCGCAATAGAATGAAGACGGATCGGGTTGCCCGTTACTTGGAACATAAACATGACTGGGAGTCACTGCGGCTTCCAGGGGAAGACCCCAGGAAAGGTGTGCGCTGGAGCATCCGGGAACAGATGCTTTATAAGTCTGAATTCCCTCCTCGACCTCAGCACGTTTATATCCCCAACAATTACCTGGTGCCTACAGAGAAGAAGAGATCTGCCTTGCGCTGGGGAATACGGTGTGACCTGGCAAATGGTGTGATACCTAGGGATTCCTACTCTTCGTAGAAACCCAAGAGGACTGGCATTGGCACGAAGCATGCACTGCTTGGTGCTGTCCAAACAGCTAACTACACTGAACTATACTGTTGTGTTTCCTTTGAACCTGAATCCTTCTTATTGATTTTAAATCTATACTTAGTTTTCAGAATGAGGAGTTTGGAAAGGACTCTTTTACCCATGCTGCTTAAAAGTGATGCCTTGGATAGAGAAACTTACTGGTATCATCCCAAAAGAAGTCAAGCAGAAGATGAATTGAAGCATACTAAAATGTATGTGAAAGACAATCTTTCTGCTTTATTACAAGATCTTTTAGACCCATTTCCTCTTCCTAAACTATTAGACACTCTGTACAATTTTACTGTTTTTAAATCAATTTTGTAACTTCTGGATGTATGCATTAAAGTATAAATATTTGGAATAAAAGTCATTACTATAGTTTATCCACTGGCAATGTTGATTCCTCCACCCACTTCCTTCATTAGATGGAATAAGAGTGGCTTCACAGTCTTACCTTGGTTATCAGCACTTGTGGAAAGATACTTTACAGACATGGTATAAAGAAAAACTGAAAGATGGCCAAAGTACTAGCAAAATAATTAGAAGAGGGGATGAGGCTTATATTTTTACCATCAATCCTTTGTACATCTGTCTCGCTCTACTGAATGAACCCAAAGAGATTTACTCCCTGTTCTAAATGAAACAAGTTATGCTCAATGTTCCCTTTAATTTCAGCCCCGGCGGGCCGGGCTCTGCCCCTTGCGTGCACAATGGCAACTATCACATGCAATTCCATCATGACCAGAAACAAGAGCTGAAAACAACTGCCCTGAATCCATGGATGAGGAGCCCTATGTGGAGAGGGTTGGGCCACGTGCATCGGTTGCTACTGATATGGCTGCCAAATGGCACAGCAAGTTACCCCACTATTGAACTTAGATTTCTACCCCTCCCATCTAGACCAAAGGTCTATTCTGAGCTGCTGCTTCATATTTAGCCCACCTTGTACTGTCACTGAAATGTTGCCAAGTTGATTTTTTATGGCAAGTTAGGTATGATATTGAAGGAATGGTTCACCCCCTCCCCTGTGAGTTTCCTCTTCAGTCTGTTATAACAGATCCTCTTTAAAAGCTCTATATGATGCACTGGCTCTACCTTTTGTTGTGACAGTGTTCTCTATAGTGTTACTCGTAATTGAATAAAAGTGCAGGAGCAGGTGATACCTTTAATTGACTTATATACAGTGGTGCCTATATACAGTGACCTATATACAGTGGTGCTTGACAACGTTAATTCATTCCAGCGAAATAGCTGTAGAGCGAAAATGTAAAGCAAAATAAAAAAGCCCATTGAAATGCACTGAAACACGTTCAATGCGTTCCAATGGGCTGAAAACTCACTGTCCAGTGAAGATCCTCCATAGGAGCGGCCATTTTCGGTGCCTGTGCAGCGAGGAATCCATCCCTAAGCACTGCGGGGGGGGGGCATTTTCTTCAGCCAGCAGCCATTTTGAAACCCAACGATCAGTTTTTGATCCTCGTAAAGCGAAAATCGGTTCCCGAAGCAGGGAACTGATCATCGCAAAGTGGAAAAACCCCAGTCAAACCATCGTTTTGTGATCGCAAAAGCCTCACCGTCAAGCGGATTCATTGTTAAATGGGGTAATCGTAAAGCGGGGTACAACTGTATATACAGGTAAGGCTTGTACAGGATTTTAGCTGCATCTCAACCTTCTTGTACCAAGGATAACAAACAATGATGCACGGCCTTGAAGGTGATTTATCATTGAAAGCTTGCAAGCTTTCAATGATAAATCACCTTCAAGGCCGTGCATCATTGTTTGTTATCCTTGGTACAAGAAGGTTGAGATGCAGCTAAAATCCTGTACAAGCCTTACCTGTCTTGGTCTCCAGATGTTTTATCTTTAGTTTTCCTCAGCCCCAGCACAGCTACTGAACATGAATGCTAGGACGTGTGATCTGAAACAGCTGGAGAGTACCAGGTTGGTTCATATGATATACTAAGGTCCTCATGAAAATAATTATTTGGCTTGACTTAGATCAGAGATCTCTGGGTGAGTTCCAGACAGAATGGCAGGGACTGAACTATGTTGGGGAGGAGATGATGATTTTGGCGCTGTAGAGATTGCTCACCTAAACTGCAAAATCATTTTATCTACTTCCCAGACTGTTAATTCATAGAACAAGGAGCAGTACATGGGTCTGTGAGCTGCCTGTGGACCTTGTACGTTTCCTCTGGTCACAAAGTAGGACCATGGATTTACTATACTATGCCTCCCACAAAAACGGGTCATACTCCATTTAAAAAACGCATTTATTCTGGCATAAAATGTCAGAGGTTGAAGCCATAAGGTCTATGAGTTCCACAACATATAGGTTAAATGTTTAAGGAGGCACTGTACTTGCATTTCTATCCTTGAAGTGGTCAAACTGCAGTTCTGTATCTCATTATTTCCCCCACCCACCCTGCCGCCAGCTCCTGGCTCCATTTGATTCCCCAAATTAAAATGTCTTTTTTTCCCAGGGGAACAAAGATGAATTGCTGTTCCTGGAAGCCTTTTAAATAGGTAACTTGGCCCTTTACCTTGTTTAACGCCCAAAGTTATCCACTGTTGAAAAACAGGTCTTCTGGTCAGCTTTGGTTTCCCCTTCCCCCAATCTGGCCCAGAACTACCCAAATTACCCATCCTGATTTAGTGCCCCCGAGCAGGCATGCTACCAGACGGTAGAAACGAAATACTGTATAGAAAGGGGCAGTTGGCTGAAGTGGAGATTGGAGTGGCTTCCTAGAAGCCAAAACTCAGCAAGTTTGGAAAAATGTTTTGGGCCACAATTTCCAGGATCCTGCAGCCAGCATGACTATGGTGGTTAGACGCTTCTGAGCGTTGCAGTCTAAAAAGCATGTGTCCCCAAGCTGTACCCAAACAGCTACCACCACTGCCCGAAATTACATTGAAGAAGGCTGAACCTACACCCTTGGGCAACTATCATCCTTCCCAATGCTGATGTCTGACCTGTCCCAGCCCTCAGGCAGGGAGAGGAGACCATCCTTTACATTTCCCATAATGCTTTTGACCTAACATCACTTTGAAGCATTGAGGAAAACACACAGGATGGCTAGAGCCAGCCACCGCATGCTAGGTCTTGCATAGTCAACCAAGCTGATAAGTCATCACGTATACCTAACCTGTGTCTCACAGGTCTTTGCCCTATAAAACAGGACACACCCTTTCTTCACTGCAAGGGTAGGCAATCGAATAATAAATAAATAAAACTGCCATCCTTCAGCTCTTGGACTCCAATTCCCAGCATTCCTCATCGCTGAGTCTGCAGCCTAGGGTGGATGGGAGTTCTTCTTAGTCTTATTGGAGTTGCATTCTGATCGCAGCAAGAGGGCTGCACGTTGTCCACACTTGTTCTACTCCTCTATAAACACCTTGCAATATAGACAGAGGAAACAACTCACTTCCCAGCTGAACTATTTTTTTAAAAACCTGCCGGGAGCCTGAGGTGCAAGCCCCGATTCTGCGCATGTTTATGGAGAAGTAAAGCCTTCTGCGGAGTTCCCTGGATGGGTAAAACGTGCACAGATGAAAATCAAAACTGATGGAAGGCTCTAGAGATCGCCGCGTGAGCTTCGGGGCACCCACGTCGTGTAAACGTGCCCAGACAGAGGAAGACTCCGACAGAGGGACAAGGCTAACCTCCACACCCCAGCATAGGCGCGCACGCACACGCGCACACACTCGCAGGAAGGGAGCCCCACTGAACACACAGGCCCTTACCTTCAAGGAAACAGGCGGCCGCAGCCTTCCCGCCAACCACGCGAACACGACCGCGTTCCCCTTCCTTCCTTCCTTCCTTCCTTCTGCCAACCACGCGAACACGACCGCGCTCCCCTCCCTTCCTTCCTTCCTCCTCCTCCTCCTCCTGCAGCACCAAAGCGGCCGGTGCCCCGCCCCGCGGCCCAAGTAATTCCACCCCCGCCGGAAATGGCCTCTAGTCTTCCCGTGCACTTAAAGCACGTGGCGCGAAGGTTCCTGGGAAATGTAGTCCTTTTGAGAAAGCGACCGGGGCGGGCTTGTAGAGTCGGAAGAATCCCGGAATTTTAAGAGAGAGAGAGAGAAAAACAAACCCAAAAATAGGCCGTATGGTCTCCAGAGAAAACAACAGAAATACAGTCACAGAAGCAGGCGATGCCTTTCTTAGCCCACTGGAAAAATCAAGGAAGTTGCTAGCTTTTGATGGTAACATATTCCATCTTCCTCAGGCAGTTTCAGACGTTTCTTGGCATGGTTGTTGTAGTACATGCCCGGTAAAAATTCTTCGGCAACATGTAAACACCTTGTGGGGTGGGGTGGAAATTCCTTCTCAAATAGCATCTTGGAATTGGTGCCCCACCTCTTCAGTGACCCCCCCACACACACACACTACAGTGTACAGATTCAAAGGAATGACTGTAGTGTGTGGTCTGCAACCCCTACACACACACAAACACACAAACACACACACATACTTTGATATGGCAGGGGGGAAATTAAGAAGTCATGAGGGCTAGCTATGAAATTGAGGCTTTTCTCCGCTCCCTCAAAAGCCTTGGCAGAGATGTTGCTAAGATTTGAACCCAGGATCTCCTGTTCACTAGACAGCTGATTTAAACAAGTAGGCCCAGGGCTAGCTATAAATTTGAGGCTTTTCTCCCCTCCCTCAAAAGCCTTGGCAGAGGCGCCGCTAGGATTTGAACCCAGGATCTCCTGTTTACTAGACAGCTGATTTAAACAAGTAGGCCCAGACTTCATATCTAAAAGCGATGTACTGTAATTGCTTTGCTTCATTGCCAACCGAAGTTACACTGGAAGACCACCAAGCTAGGCAGAAAATGAATGATTATTCACTGCTGTGTATTCACATGAGGGATATACATTAAATATCCTAGCGAATGGTTATTGGACGATTTGTTGTCCTTGCAATCATTCAGTTCTGTTTTAAAAGTATATTTAGGAAAGAAGAAAAACACAAGGATGGAAATGCTTAAGCTTCTTCCTACGTTAATCATTAAGTTCCAACCATCTCCTCCTTGAGAACTAGCAACTTGACTAGTTTGCTTAACAGCTACTATCCACCCTTCCCCCCCCCCAGTGTCATTACCATAAAATAATTCTATTTTGGCTTGTGTTATGTTTTATTCACTGTGACAAAGACATGAAAGGAAAGCAGATGAAGGAAGAATAAGTTACAGGTTTTTTTTTCAGTTCACCTGTATTTAAGATTTGTTAAAGAGTTATGCCCAAGCCCTCATGGAGAATGTGAGTACTGTATTGGAAAGAAATTCCAGAAATAATGTGTATGAGAGAGATGTAGCTTCAACAGAGGGATTCTGGCCCATTAGCGATTACAGTGTCAACCTCCAGTGTGATGGAAAGGAAAAAGGAGTGAACCCACATTAAAAGTGTCCCTTTCTAAAGACTAGAGTGATGTGGCAGATTTTTAAGGGACTGCATAGTATAGTAACCCAATCTTAAGGAAATCTGATTATTTTATTTTGTAGAGTTAGTGACTATCCTAACAGATGGGGCTAGCACAAGTGTTCTTGCCTCATTGAGGTCTAGCGGTCTGATTCTGTACACATTTAGTCAGACATAAGTATTCCTCTGTCCAGTTTGCTTTATTAAATGTCTTCAAATTTCTTCCAGTGCCCATGGTAATTTGTGAGTTCTGGGAGCTGTAGTCCACAATGAGAACTTTTCCGATTCATGTTTCTAAGCAGATGACATCCACGGAGACTTACTCCCAAGGAAGCATATGTTTGTCACACCACTGTGAAAAAAACAAAAGCCTGCTTTCTCCCCCATAGAAAGAGAACCGACCAAACTGAAGCTGTCCGACTTGGAGGAGGAGGAGACAAGACTCGCTGGAAAAGACAGTAATGCTAGGAAAAGTGCAAGCCAGCAGGAAAAGAGGACTGGAAAAGATCAGTCTACATCCCAATCCCAAAGAAGGGCAGTGCCAAAGAATGCTCCAACTACCGTACAGTTGCACTCATCACACACGCCAGCAAGGTTATGCTCAAAATCATACAAGGTAGGCTTCAGCAGTATGTGGACCGAGAACTCCCAGAAGTACAAGCGGGATTCCGAAGGGGCAGAGGAACTCGAGACCAAATTGCCAACATGCGCTGGATTATGGAGAAAGCCAGAGAGTTCCAGAAAAACATCTACTTGTGCTTCATTGACTATGCAAAAGCCTAACACGGTTCAGATTTTTCATGTGCCCCCCCCATAGAAATTAATTGCCCACCCCTGCCCTAAAGGAGCACACAGGCTGGAGTTTGCTGGGCTGTTGTTGAGGACAGGACCTTTTGGAGGTCGCTTATTTATAGGGTCGCCATAAGCAATTTGGTAGCACATAACTCCTTTCTCTTCCTCCTCCTCCTCACTCACTCACTCACCATGGCAACTCCCAAGTACTGTACCTTTCTTCCCTCGCCTCTTCCCCCACCCTCTTAATGGCATATATATACATGCCATCAAGAGGGTGGGGGAAGAGGTGAGGGAAGAAAGGTTATACTATGTGTGTGTTTGTGTATGTATGTATGTGTGTGTGTGTGTGTGTGTGTGTGTATGTATGT